CCTGCCTCTCTGAGAATAAATTAGAGGCGCTCACCAGCACATCTCTGTTAACTGAGACGCAGGCATCTCAGGAGTGCGTGGTTTCTAACAGCATCCTTTCCATCACCTATCAATGCCTCCTTCGATTTTTACCTGAGGTGGAAAAAGCATTCTCTTCCTTTGAGTCTCCAGACTGTTAAGGACTTGAGGGGCTCTCTATTAGCACTCTCCTTCCGTCTCCAAGTTTCTAAACCATGTGAGAAATAAGATAAATGGGAGATTAAAGTAGGGGATCTCCTTCATTACTGGCAAAAGCTGGGCTGGAGGAAGTCATTGAGGGGCCTCATCATTTTCCTCCCCCAGCCTTGACCTTGAGTCAGCCCAACAAGTGGGAAAGTCTGAGTCTGAAGTCAACACAGGTCCAGGGCAGGAGGCAAAGGATGATGGGCTCCCCCAGTGGAGGCACAAAGGCCGGTGCTTGTACCCCAGCAATGAGGTAGCAGTGGAGAGGGGCAAGAGGGTCGGCAAGCATCAGGAGCCCTGGGGAAAATGTCTCCATGTAGAAACTGGAGGAATGAGGATTGGGTTTCCCCTCTAACCAAACTATTATTGTTTTGACGTAACATGACAACATGCAATTTTTTTGTATTTTTCTTTTTTTTTTTTTGGAGACAGAGTTTTGCCCAGGCTGTGGTGCAGTGATATGATCTCAGCTCACTGCAATCTCTCCCTCCTGGGTTGAAGCAATTCTCCTGCCTCAGCCTCTGGAGTAGCTTGGATTACAGGTGTACGCCACCGTGCCCAGCTAATTTTTGTATTATTAGTAGAGACAGGGCTTTACCATGTTGGCCAGGCTGGTCTTGAACTCCTGACCTCAGGTAATTCACCCACCTCAGCCTCCCAAAGTGCTGGGGTTACAGGTGTAAGCCACCACACACAGTCTTTCGTATTTTTTTAAATAAATATAAGCATCTTGCAGGGGGAAGAAAAGCAAAGTATCATTAAGTTCTATGTCATGCCGGATTCACTTCAGAGCTTTGCTAACCTACATGCCTATTTCATTTGAATGTCATTGTAATCCACATGTGCATACTGTCCTCCATTCTGGCTTTTGTACTTGAAATTATTTCAAACACATTTCATGCCTCCACGTCACTCGTGTGGTCATTTCAATTGCGTTTCTCTAATTCCTAGCAAGGTTATGCATTTTACAAGCGGCACCTGGGACTTGATTTTTTTTTGTTTACCAGAACAAATACTCTTCCTCCTTGGAAGAGTTTGTTCTTTTATTAGTTCTGTGTAGCACATGTGTTCCCATTGTGCTGCTTTTGTTCATTCTATTTGGTGTACAGCATTTCCTTTTGCAAATTAAAAATCAGAAAGTTTTATGAGGAAGTCAGAACTATCCATCTGGTTTCCCTCTTGAATGACCTGAATAAATAAATATATATTTCTTTCTACTATTCTATTTTTCCTACTTCTTTATTCTAATTGTAAAGTTTTGTTTTTAAATTTTGGATCTGCATGAAATGTATTGCCATGTTGGTTCAATATATAGATATAAAGCAAATTTTATTCAATGGTTATTTATTAAATAAGCATTTCTTATCCCACTAGAAATGTATTTTAAATGTGGTATTTTGTTTGTTTTTATTTTTGTTTTTGAGATGGAGTGTCACTCTGTCACCCAGGCTGGAGTCCAATGGCATCATCTTGGCTCACTGCAACCTCCGCCTCCCAGGCTCAAGCAATTCTTCTGCCTCAGCCTTTTGAGTAGCTGGGATTACAGGCACATGCCACCATACCTGGCTAATTTTTGTATTTTTAGTAGAGACAGGGTTTCACCATATTTGTCAGGTTGGTCTCAAACTCCTGACCTCAGGCAATCCGTCTGCCTCAGCCTCCAAAAACCGTAATTCATATCATAGAAAATCTGATTCAGTGGTGAGATTACATTTATTAATGTACTTTTGTGTTTCAGAATTAGAGTTGACACTTCTAAAAATCTTAAACTCCAGAGGGTCCTGAACCTTGAGCCTTTTCAGAACAAAATATTCTTCCTTCATACAATATTTTACCAGGTATGGTGGCTCATGCCTGTGATTTCAGCACTTTGGGAGGCCAAGGCAGGAGGATCACATGAGCAGATGACTTCAAGACCAGCCTTAGCAACATAGCAAGACCCCATCTCTACAAACAAAATAGCCAGGCATGGTAGTGTGCACCTGTAGTCCCAACCACTTGGGAAGCTGAAGTGGGAGGATCACTTGAACCTAGGAGGTCAAGTCTGCATTCCAGCCTGGGTGACAGAGCGAGACCCTTTCGGGGTGTGTGTGTGTGTGTGTTTGAAAACATAATAAAAAATTTAAAATATTATTTAAAAGTGGCAGTATTATTCTATCCTTATATGAATCTAAGTCGAATAGTTTTTACTTTTGTTGCTACCCATCTTGGTCATAAATGATATTAATGAATTCATACTTATGGTTTTCATTTCTTTCTGCTGGATATGTATATACATATATGGATGGATGGATGTTTGCTAGATAGGTGGGTATAGACAGACAGACAGACAAAACATGGTTATCAATATTGATGTTGAATAAATTGCCAAAAGCTAAGATATGTGTATGTTCTATATCTTTCTTCTAATTGTGTACATTGGAAAACCCTTTAATAAAACAATTTCACAAGATCCACATATGTGTCACTAGATTTTGGAATATTAATACAGGAAAATCTCATTACTGGGATTTATCCTAAAGGGGGAGAATTCTAATTGCAGAAAAATCGTATGCAGGACGATGGTCCTCATTGCATTTTTTTCATAATAGCATAAAACTGTCCCTTTGTGACCAACCAAATGGGAGATAGCCAAGTAAATACCGATATATAGTTATCCAGTATAATCATTAAGATGACAGTTATGCAAATTACAATGCTTATAATAGTATGGGGGAAGCAAGACACAAAATTTGGCACACAGTAGGATTACAATCTTGAAAAATATGTGCCAAAAGAGGAAACTGCTTCTGTTAGGTTAGGGTGGTGATATGATCGGTGTTTTATACCTTCTCCTGTTTTTACTTTTTCTAAGGCAATGTATATTTAGCAATTATAACAATGGAATTCCCAAGATTGTTTCTTCTTCAAAGTGGTTTTGGCCTTTGCGATTTAGCAATGTTACTTTTAATCTATAGAGAGCTCAATTTTTCAAGAGTTAACATGTCCCAAGAGGAGCGAGCAATATTGCTTCTCTGTTACCAGCAAAGCCCAGAACTCATGGAGAGAATCTGGAGTAATCCTGCTGCAGTTGCATCTCTTTTGTTCTAATGTTGCTTCTATGGTACTTTTAACTGCTAAAATCCATGGCAGTCTTTCGATTCCAACCTTCCCCCAAAGAAGCAGAATTTGGCAAGAACCCCGAGACCTCCATCCCCTCTATCTCGTCCCGGAATTTTATTGTACTTGGAACATCAAGAATCAAAGTGGTTTCCTAGAGATGCATTTGACTGAATGGCAGCTGCATCATTATTCCACCAACTGGGAAACTGAAGCAGAGATACTTCCCACGGCATCCGTTTGAACATGCTAAATAAAGGCATGTTAAGAGGACTGGGGAGCATCCATGATGGGATGGCGACGTACTGACACTCAGCCCTTCCCATCCCAAAGACTCCCAGTTCATCTGTGTGATTTCCACTGCATGGGCTTACAGTCTGCACTGCTTTTGCTTTCTTGTTAATGAGTAATCAATCATCATATTGTTGATCATCATCATAATTTTTACTACCATTTTGGGCATATAAAAAAGCCGAATTAAAAAAAAAAAAAAAACACTCTTCAAGTGCTGATGCTTTTCACTATCTGCTTCAGAGGAATTATTTTCTTTTTTTGCATTCATTATATTTTTTCCGTGCTTATAGAAGATTCAGGTCAAACACCATATGCCCTTGAATCATATGCTATTTCAGGGCTGTTAGTTTGTTGATTACTCCGTTGAACAGATATTCACTGGACCGACTCTAATAGGGGATGGGTCATGGAGGGATTCTGTGCCACCATACATCACTGATATATAAAATTAAACTAGAGGTGGAACATAGCAGAAGGAAAGGATTATTTATCCAAGAATCACCTTGGAGTCACTTCCCTGTTTCTTTTCTGCAAGTCATCATCTTGCTCCTGGTTTTAAGTCAGGTAATTGCTCTGCTGGTTTCTGTGTTTCTGACTCGGCAGAACTTAGTCTTTCATCTGATGTTTATTCATCTCGCTGGAACAGCTTTCAGTCCTCTTTAAAAATTAATTTGACTTTAATGTCTAGTTATCTAAGACTCCCCTGGGCTAGGATGAAATCACACTGGGGGAATTTTGATTTGACAAATGGCCATTGTATGGGAGCCTTTGATCCTGCACCATGGGCCTTGTTTTGCTGAGCTTTAAGCAACATCAAAGTCTACAGGACGCAGTATGATTGGTGGTCGGCACTGGGAGAATTCTGGCGCTTCCCGGCATCCCTGGGTGGCTGCAGCCTATTAGGTGCAGATGAGAGCCGTCCTAATTCTTTATCCAAGTAGAGAAATTGGCCAAGGGCGGAGGCAAACAGAAGATGTGATGAGATTTTCCTAGGACCTTGCTGCCTGTTGAGTGACAAGAAGCCTTTTGCTCTCTAAAGTAGGAATTCCCAGTGTTTTTTCCAAGTTTTTAGAAATTATGAGACAAATAATTTTAATTTGCTTTTTATTTTTAAAAATACATAGAAAATGTGATGGATTGGATTAGAAAGACAGAGATAAAACAGGCAAAATGCTGACGATCATTGGAAATTGTTGCCCTGATGAGTAGACAACATATCTCTAAAGATCAAATAAATGTCTTAAAAAGAACAGATGTTGGTTTTAGAGACTGACCTTGATAAAGATTGCTCAGCAGCAGCTAGACTCAGTTAGCAGGCAGTCAGTGCCTCTTTCTTGGAAGGCAGACATTGTCTAACTCTGCAATCTCCTTTTCTTTCTTGACAGATGGGGAACTCTCCATATCCAATGAAGAGGACTCCCTAGAAAATGGGCAGTCCCTGAGCTCCAGCCAGCTGTCTCTGCCTGCCCTGTCCGAAATGGAGCCAGTCCCAATGCCCAGGGATCCCTGCTCGTATGAGGTGCTCCAACCTTCAGACATCATGGATGGGCCAGGTAATGCCCCAGCAGGATTTTAGGGCAAGTCCTAGACGGTGGCACCAGGAATCTTTGACCTGGCTGGACTTGGAGTTCTATTTTGGACTATCCTGAGCATAAGGAGCTGGAAACCTAGATAAAACGGATTAGTTTTTAGTACATACTGAGTACTTTTTTAAGTGGAAAATATTTACACTCATGATTCTACAGCGTTTAAAAAACTCTTGATTACCTTAATCTCTTTAAAGAAGATATGGCTTATTTTTGTAACATTACTGATTTAAAATATCATTATTTTGTTTTTTTAACACTCATCTCTGTTAAGGTAAAGCTGAGGAATCCTAAATTTCTATATGACACCTAATTTGTCTGTTCGAAAGGCCCTTCAGTCTTAGTCCCAATATACCAGTTAATGGCTGTGTCAACTTATTGGATACAGTCAATCAATTTAATTGTCAATTAAATTGTATACACGTTACTGATTGAATTGTATCCTGCCGATAGCTGATTTTTGATGCCATCTGACTGTCATCTCTTCCTTTGATCCAAAGGTGACTGAGTGGCCAATACTCATTCTCTCAGAAGGTTTGAAGAGTGGTCCTAATTTGCTCCAAAATGGGTCCCTCCTGACAGCTAGTGAGCAGTGGTACTTGTTGTCAGATGACTCTGGGAGAAGGAACCTCTTGTGATATCCAGGGTATAGGTAGAGAGGCCTTTTTCCCCATCATGTGCAAAATCCACATCTGCAGGTGGTCACATGGGAGGTTGGGGGGGATGGGGTTTCACAGGGTTAATTCCCATGCTTCGCTGTGGGACCTGGTGAGTCATTGCTCCGTTACTGTGTCCTACGCCGCTCGTAATAGTGTCCCTGAGACAGGAGAATGTAGTGCTCATGAGGATTCTCTGCAGGGCTTTGGTGCTGCACAGAACACCTGATCAGGGAGGAAGAAGGTGGGGGGGGGCAAGGAGAGGAGTCACTTACAGGCTTTCTCACTGGGGCAGTGGCGGGAGGTTAGAGGAGACATAGTGAAGTTACACCCTCCCACCCCAGGGAGCGTTTCCCAATGAAAGCAGTGCATTTTGTAAAACAATCCAGCCTGCCTTACGACATTGAAATCAGCTAGATTTGATTGTTATAGTAAAACTCTGACATTCCAGCAGAATCACAGATTTTCACTCTGTCATCAGCCAAGCTACTGGCATGGTAGGAAGGTGTGTGCCACAACCCAATGACAGCACTTCATGAAAGCCAGTCAGGGGGTTCCCCCATGAAGGAAAGGAAGAGATGGGTCCAATGCAGTGCAAAGAGAAATGGAGGGAGTGACACGAGAAAACAATAGTTGTGGTGAGCAAGAAGAGAGAGGCGAGGAGCAGATTGAAAGATTGACTTAAAGCACCCTTTGCCTCGTCAAGGTTTACAGGAGCTGGCAAGGGCAGGATGCTGTTGCTAAAATCACAGAGTTTGGGCTGGGAGGCTGCTGCTCAGTGCCGGGCACTCCGGAACCTGGAGGTGCAGCTGTGCAGGGCCCCAGGGTGCAGCCTGTGCGGTGTCAGTATTCCAGCCTGTCATCTGTACCCGGTGTCACAGATCTGAGAGCAGAGACAGAGCAGACCCAGTAGACAAAACTGAGCCCCTCCGCTCTTTTGAATCCACTCTCTCTTGCCCCTCATCAGAGGACAAGCAGGCCCCAGCAAGGGTGCTGGCATTCGGTTCTGGTTTGGTTTAGAGGGGCTCTGCACCCTGACCTTCTGCAACAGCCACCCTGGTGATTCCTGCTGCGCCCCATCAGTCACATCTGGGAGCATGCGTAGGGTTTGTATGACCAGTGCTGAATCTGAAATGGTCACGTTTTTGAGGGTTTGGAGAAAACGCCCTCCTCCTCTTTCTCCCTGTTGCTCTTCCCACCTCTACCCCCTCTCTTCCTCTGCCTCCTCTCTCTGTCCCTCCTGCTTCGCTGGATTTCTGGTGTCCTCGCTGTAGCTCTCTACACACGCGTGGTGGCCTGAAGCATCGGTGCTCCGCTGTGTTGCTAGCCCGAGTCCCTGTCCTGTGTTCCCCGCTGGCCGTGCCTGCACTGCGTTTGTGTAATGTCTCCTGTGTATCATGTGGTTGTCCCCTCAGTGTCTGAAGAGAGTCCCTCTGCCAGTGAGTCTGGAGTCCTCCTGTCCCAAGATCCTTCAGCCAAACCAGTCCTGCTCCTGCCCCCCAAAAAACCTGCTGCTTTCCCTGGAGACCATGAAGAGACCCCAGTGAAGCAGCTGCCCCTTCTCAAGCAGCCCCCGGCCCTGCCTCCCAAACCCACTACCAGGATTGCCAACCACTTAACAGGTGAGTGCAGACCTCTGGGGCAAGCAGTCCCTCCTTCCCTTCAAGGGATTTTCTTTTTCTCTTGTTCTTTTATCTGAGGCCTGAATGCCGCTCTCTGGGGAGGTTGCCCTGTGGGCTGTTTGGGTGTTTCTGTGTGTGTCTTGATATCTGCAGTCATGACCAGGGTTTGTGTTTTCGTGTTTGCTACCCACCTACCAGCCATAGGCCAAGAGTGCTCAGTCACGTGTATCTGTAAATATGTACATTGTATTTAAGTGATTAATTCAAGATTGTTTGCTCACCTGGTGAAGCAGATTCAATGTCAGCATTTTTGCAAAGATAAAGAATAGTGCCTTCTTCATGAGTTTGTCAAGGCTTTAAATTTTTTGTTGTTAAGTTATTGATCTGAAGCCTGGTATATTTCTCCTATTAAAATTCATGCCAGTGCTGTCTGTTCTCTTAGGAAAAACAAAAAAGCCAATCTGCAAATTATGTGGTAAATACTTTTAAAAGAAGAGTGAACTTAGCAATGTTGTCTTAAAATGATTGCGCACATACTCTGCAGTGTTCTTGAAGTGTGGCTTAATGAACGTATCCACAGGTATTAAATTGGCACTCAGTGAAATTGTACTTCACTGCACTTTGGCCCATGAAGTAGACACCACTTTGTGATTCAAGGCTGTGGTGTAATCAGAGCTTAAAAGAGTTCAGAGGGTCATTTTTCCGACTTTGGTAACAGTTTCACCTGATGCTGATCAACTGCATTTTTAAAAAGTGTTCAGTATTTTGACAAATAATACTTAAGTCATCACTCTAACATTTTGTAACATGTAATGGTGGTGGAATTAGGGGGAAATATTTAGCTATCTTATAGGAGAGACACTGAGGTTCAGGAAAAATAAGTGACTTCCAAGGCTGACAGGAATTCTGTAATAGAGGCACAATTGATGCTGTGTTTCTCAACTCCAAGTTCAGCTAATGTTGTTTCCATAGCAGGCTGCCTTTCACATGATTCCAAGTTCTAGTAGAGTCCGTCTTAGGCATGAGCTCATGTCAAACTGCTCTATTAATGTGTATGTCCATCCAAGTCAGATGTGTATGGTTTGAAGGAGCAAATTCCCATCTAATGCAACCATGTAACACATTAATAACACTTGAGTTCGGTGTCCAAAAATTGAAATTCACAGAAGGCCACCAAGGAGAGAAAGCCCCATAAGCCTCCTCCTAGGTGATCTCCACTGTCCATCTGTCTGTCTATTGAATAAAAATTGAATGTTGCTGTACATAGTGTTTACCACCTGCTTTTTGCATTTGGTGATATGTTGTAAACTGTAAGCTGATTCTCATGTTAGTATTCTGTAACATGATTTTATCAGCTGCTTGACATAGATCAGGGTTTACTTAACCGACCCCTTAAGGTTTTTTTCCAGCTTTCTTATTGTTAAATCACAACAGCAGACAACTGCAACAGCCTGCATATAATTCATAAGCATCTCTGCGTTTTCTCTAATTGATTTCTAAAATTAGAACTGTTGAGTCAAAGATTATGCACCCTAAAGGCTTTGATGTCAAATTTCCCTTAAGAAGGATTCAACATTGTACAAAATAAACCCTTACATGTCATACATATTTATTCAACACATCTACAATAGGCAGAATACTGTACTAAGTATCAAAGTAGATAGGAATATGTAAGAGTTTCATGCAGCTGTCTCCAACTTTTTTGGCACCAAGGACCAGTTTTGTGGAAGACCATTTTTCCGTGGACTGGAGGTGGGGCGGGGGAGATGATTTCAGGATGATTCAAGTGCATTACATTTATTGTGCGCTTGATTTCTATTATGATTACATCGTAATACATAATGAAATCATTATACAACTCAACATAATGTAGAATCCATGGAAGCCCTGAGCTTGTTTTCCTGTGACCAGACAGCCCCATCTACGGGTGATGGGAGACAGTGACAGATCATCAGGCTGTAGATTTTCATAAGGAGCACGCAACCAGGATCCCTCACAGGCACATTTCACTTTAGGGTTCCTGCTCCTCTGAGAATCAAATGCTCCTGCTGATCTGACAGGAAGTGGAGCTTAGGTGGTAACGTGAACAGTGGGGAGAAGCTGTAAATACAAATGAAGCTTCACCCACCACTCACCTCCTGCTGTACAGCCCAGCTCCTAATAGGACATGGACCGGTATAAGCTCATGGCCCCGGGGGTTGGGGACCCCTGGTTTAATGAACACATATATAGAGAGAGAGAGACAGAGAAAGTACTAACGTAACTACTGTTAGCAATAACACTTGAAGTTCAGTGAAGTCTGATAAAGAGGTTATAGGAGAAGGCTGAAGCTTGAACTGACTTTTCAAGCATGAAGGACATTTATAGAGGAAGGAAGAGTATTCCAGGAAGAAAGACCCTAGACAAAGCCTCAGAGGTGGCAACATTTTGGGTCATTGAAAAGTTGGCTGAACAGCGGTGGAAGCTTCATTCTGAGGTATACTGAGAGACAGGACTCACTAGGTAAAGGCGTGAAAAGTTTTAGATTTTATTCCCTAGGCGGTGAAAAGGCTTTGGAGGTTTTTGAGCAGAGGAGTGATGTGATGAAAACTAGCCTTTAAGAGATCTTCTTGGATCACCATGTAGAAGAGCAGAAAGAGAAGCAGGTTGAAGGCCTATCGGAGAAGCCACCACCAAGGCCAGCTCCAGGCCACATACTCCAAAGTCAGATCAGTTAAATGGACTGATCTGAGCCAGGGAGACCATTGAAGAGGCTTCTCCAGTCATTGAAATATGAGCTAACAAGCATCTGACTGATATCAGTGGGAAGAAAGAGAGCAGACCAGTGGATATGACACTGGAAAAAGAAGAGTCAACAGAATTTTTTTTTTTTTTTTTTTTTTTTTTTGAGACAGTTTCACTCTGTCGCCCAGGCTAGAGTGCAGTGGTGCAATCTCAGCTCACTGCAACCTCTGCCTCCCGGGTTCAAGCAATTCTCCTGCCTCAGCCTTCCAAGTAGCTGGGACTACAGGCACCCGCCACCATGCCCGGCTAATTTTTTTTGTATTTTTAGTAGAGATGGGGTTTTATGATATTGGCCAGGCTGGTCTTGAGCACCTGAATTTGTGATCCGCCTGCCTCAGCCTCCCAAAGTGCTGGGATTGCAGGCATGAGCCACCACGCCAGGCCAGAATTTCTTAACAAATGACACCCTCTGATTTATCTAGTTTTCTAATTAATGGGGGCAAACTTGAGTTTCATCTGTGAGCCCAGGAGTTCAGGTGGCCTGGTATCCACAGGATTCTTTACAAATAAGAAACCAAAGATATCTCAATTGGCCCCGTCTCTCTGGCTTCCCTGGTCCTTTCCTGATAGAGTACACTCTATTATCTGTATACCTCACCCCCGTACAGCTAGGATCAAATGAATAAAAATACACAAAAAGCTAATATCCTTACTATGTAGTACATGGTAACCTCTTAAATATGATAAAGCAAGACAGGTAGTCTGTGGACTGCAAATCTAGTACTATCCTTTTGGGCTTAAACTCAATTAGACTTGCTTAATTTTTATAAGTGAGCAGTCATAATGAATCTGCTTCACCACGAGGTAGCTACATTAACCCTGTTCTGTTACTAATTTCTCTGAAGACATCTGGGCCATGTCAGAAGGAATTAATAAGAATTCTAGTACTTTAAATTGAGGCTCATGAGTTTTCATCTGTTCTCAGTGTCTGCTGCTCTGCTTACATGTTTGAAAGGAAACGCAGGACAGTTGAAAGACACCAAGCATGATGAATGGGAAGTGACAGTGGTTAATGGGCTGGTAGAATGCTGGAGGAAACGTGAGTCTGAATTGGAGCTACTTCCAAGTTCATGGTCAGGGAAAGTCATGCAGAAATACCTCTACTTGGGCATTTGCTTACATTTTATCAGGAAAACATAATTAATTTGGAGAGCATTTGCCTTACAATTTTTTTCTGTTCATCAGCCAGGCGGAGAAAAGTTCTCTCTTCCTGTCTGTCTTGCTTCTTGTTAACATCTCCTTCCATCTAACCTCTTCCCCAGCATCAGCCATTCAGTGGCATGTGATACAGGGCCAGGAATTGTTGGGCATCAGTTTCCTTTGCTTCCGGAAGTACAGTGTCTGACAGAGCTTGTTGTGTAATGAACGTGATCTGAAGTGAAATGCATCCTTCTTGGAATCCTTGGAGTGATAGATGACCCCAAAAGGATAACAAAGGCAAAGGCCACTGTCTCCTACCTCTCTAAGTCATCATCAATCACTTCTCATGGCATCTGACTACAGAAGTCAGATGTTCAACACTGCATGAATAATCTATGCCTTCTGCATAAGGTACCTGTGGCAGGTGCCCCCAGCGTGCCAGCTGAATGAGGGATAATCAGTGTAGCTGGACTTCACAGTTGGATGTTCACACTTGGGTAATGATAATTGTAGTTAGCCTTTGTTGAGAACTTTACCACATACCCTTTGATACTGTTAACATTATTACCTCTTTTTCACAGATGAATATGAAATTTGGAGAAATTAAAGGATTTGGTCATAGTTACATAACTAGTAAGTGACAGATAAGCAGGAACCTATTTTCTTTGACTCCAGAATCCTCATTTATAACCCTTCGTTTATACCATCTCCACAAAGATTCCCTTTTTTCTTTTTGAGGCAGGGTCTCACTATGTCTTCCAGGCTGGAGTACATTGGTGCAATCACAGCTCACTGCAGCCTCCGCCTCCCAAGTGCAAGTGATTCTCCCACCTCAGCTTCCTGAGTAGCTGGAACTACAAGCACATGCCACCACACCTGGCTAATTTTTGTGTTTTTTGTAGAGATGGAATTTCACCATGTTGCCCAGGCTGGTCTGGAACTCCTGTGCTCAACTGATCTGCCCACCTCTGCTTCCAAAGTGCTGGGATTACAGTAATGAGCCACCTTGCCCAGCCTATTCCCAAATAGTAAAAAAAACCATCAGCTTTCTTTGTTCTTTTAGCTCTGTATGTTTT